CCCCCCCCCCTTCTCTACAACAGGTACTCTTAGAGAGTAAAGTGAACTTGAGTAATTACAATGCAATACAACGGATTTGGAAGTCCACTATAAAGGCTTGATACTGGGAAGTCTGGTTTCTATTCAATAAAATACATGGTTGATTCGTTTGGGTAAACACATTACTCTAACAGTGGATTTTTGTGAAAGGTGAAATTCTGTTAGATTGCCTCTGCTTGAAGTGAAATTAAATACTCTAATATTTAATTTGATTTCAAGATACATTAAAACTACTCTCCTACGACAAGTATAACTTGTCGCTCTTTCATTCATTTTTATCAGCTCTTTCCGTGACATTTGAAGAATCACGAGTCACTGAAGTATATTTAATTGAAAGTTCTATGTATGGTGTATCGTATCATACAGTTTAGTTTCAATGCTCCCACCATTTTATTGGATATCATTGAACATAATGTAACTCCAGACAAAGCTAGTCAATTTAAGAAAACGATATACCTTGTTCTGATTTCAATGGACCTATCTTACCTGAGTTAACGATATTGGCTATAATATTGTTCGGTTCCTTGCAGGTCCATGCCTATAGTGAAAATGAGTTATGTGTTTAATAATCGTTTTTACATGTCCTACTGAAAGATAAGTTGACTTCCAATCATTCTACAAGTAAACACTATTACATTTTGTTAAATAACAAAATTGAAAATTTGGAATATTTTAGAAGTTACAAAATTAAAAGTGCAATAACAGATATGGATTCCTTTTTCAAAATTTAAAAGAAAATGTCTAATGCTCAAGGTCAATCAGAGTCGAAATGGCAAAGTTATTAGCCCTCAAAGGGGTAAATGTGTGCAAAAACGATCAAATTGTCAATTTGGGGGGCAATAACTCTGCCATTTCGATTCCGATCGTCTTGGAGCATAAAACATTCTCGTTTTCTTTTGTCAAGATGACCCCGAAACAATAGTTACCTTTGCACATTTCTCCCGAACCCCGAACCCCCTCCTCCCCTCCAACTTACGTAAGTAAATACGTAAACCATTCAAAATATCACTTTCGTTTTTTCTCACCGGACACTCGCGAAACTTCGTAGGTCGAGTTCCGCAACTTTAAAACTAAAAGAAACACACTCGGTTTGACAATCGGACAATTTAATCACTTGTGAGAGAGTATCAAAGACGCGAAGTGAGCGCCGGAGCCGATGGTGCTCTTCACCCACTCGAGTGCAGTGCTGCCAACATACCAACGAACTACGCGCGAATTCAAATTAAACGATTGAATATTTCAAAGCTGACCGATGCATGAAATAATGCACACAGATAATCCTCGTAAATTATCAGTTCTTAGACAGACCCGCTTCTGGCTGTCAGTGCAAAACATTTTGAGGAGATACGGAATGTTACAGACGGACAGACAGACTCACGACGGAGACATCGCCTGACCCCTCATCGACTTGGACTGAGCTTCGCTCAGCGATGAATATATAAGTAACTTTAAGGTGTCAGCTAGCTTTTACTCTCGATGAGTACAGAGAACTTAGTGCAGACCAGAAAACAATTTCTTTGGCGCTGGGGGAACCGTGTCCGAGTGAGTGAGTGGCTGAGGTTCGCGCCAGTCCCGTGCCCTCACCCTGCCTAACAATACTCCAGGCTCCCCGTCCTCCCGTCCCTGTACAACAATACTAGCCCACTGATGCTCGCGCCTACGCCGAGTTACAAAATTGCAAGTAACAAGCAACCATTGCTGTCGGAGCGCACCCACGCTCAGCATCGTGCTGACTGCTGCTGTTGCTGTCGGCGCGCACCGACCTGCTCAACATCGTTCCGGAGCTCCTCTTGTTCGCCTCTAGGTCAGGACGCTGAATAGT